ACACATCTACAAAATTGTTAATTTACCACTTAAACTTTCTTTCTTGGTATCTTTTGTATTTTCTCTTATAATATTCGGGCTTCTCTTAGTTGTAAATATCAGTCTGATAGAGTCATGACTGCACGGTCTAAAGCTTGTTCTTCATTGTGTGTGCTTTGTTATCCCGTCTTCCCTGGTCCCACTCAGTCAGTCTCACGAATTTAAAATTTTTTTTTTGGTGAGGCAATCAGGGTTAAGTGACGTGCCCAAGGTCACACAGCTAGTAAGTGTCAAGTGTCTGAGACCAGATTTGAACTCAGGTTCTCCCTACTCCAAGACTGGAGCTCTATCCACTCCGCCGCCTACCTGCTCCACACATATTTTAAATTTAATTTACCTCAAACAATGGCTTTGTAACCCTCTGACTTTCCAAATCTCATTAGGGACCCCTATTGGTTCCAGCACTTTAAGAAATTGGGATTTTGGCTCGGAAAACTTGGTACTATTTGAGATCATGTCAAATGAGCTTATATGTTTGAATCCTTACAGTATGGTTACTATCCACATTTCCTAGATTTACTCCTGCATAGAATTCATATATTTGAATATTCACCAGAGGATATTTCTCTCTCTGGATAAGAAAGAAGCGCAGAGCTACTTCAGTAGTTCACATGTCATGAACGTGAATATACTTCATTGGCTGCAGAAGTTTAATGAGTTGGGTTTATACTTAAATAACAAAGGAAACAAATCAAACCTGCTTTTATAGTCTTTCCTACATCTCTTTGTTGGTTATTTAGAGTTAAAGTTAAAGCTCTTTAACCATTTTTATTTATTTATTAAATTTAAATTTTTGGGGGGGTGGGGTGAGGCAATGGGGTTAAGTGACTTACCCAGAGTCATATAGCTAGTGAGTGTTATGTGTCTGAGGCCAGATTTGAACTCAGGTCCTCCTGACTCTAGTGCTGGTGCTCTATCTACAATGCCACCTCTCGACCCTCTTTTACCATTTTAAAAGAAACTCCTTTCTCATTTGAAGATAAAATTGAACCGGTTCCAGATGGCCCTCTCTGACTTATGTGGATCAGTTACCCTTTAGATAGCTTTGTCATTTCAGTCATGTCCGACTGTTGCTGACCCCTTGGACCTCTCTGTCCATGGGGTTTTCCTAGCAAAGGTTCTGGAGTGGTTTGCCATTTCCTTTTCTAGTGGCAAACAGAGGTTATGTTTCTTGCCTAAGGTCACACCGCTATAAAGTTTTTGAAGGCTGGATTTGAACTCGGGTCTTCCTGACACCAACGACTGCACCACCTATATGTCTATATAATAATTTAAAATAAAATATCTAGATACGTTTTGAGGAAAAACTACTCATAATTTTAATCTGTTATATTGGTTCAGAAAATTTTTGAGTGAGGGAAAGAGATCAATAAAGTCCTACCCTTTTTGTGTGAAAAATTTACCTATTGATTGCTTAAATATAAGCCTAAATGTTTTTATCATGAATATGATAGAGCAGTCCTTTAAATCATAGATTTAATTTTTTAGCTCAAGCTGGCATCTAAAAGCAAGTTGTTGGTTGGTTTGTTTTTTCCGAAATGATCCTATGGGTTTTAAAGCCCACTCCCCCTGTCCTGCCTTTATAAATTATAGGTCTCATACCTAAAATTTTTTATTTTCAGGATATTAAAAAAAACAATTTTATATGTCAAAGTCCCTTTACATAGGGGTTATAACAGCCAGGAGATTTGGCATGTTAATCACATGTTCTGCTAAGTTGTAATTGTTTGTGTCATGTTAAGTATTATGTCTAAAATCTGTCATTTCTCTTTGATTTCTGCTGGTCTTTGGTAATAATGACACAAGATCCATGTGTGAGTGATTTTTTAAAAAAAAATTTTTGTTTATTTTGATTTATCAACAATCACTTTCATATGCTTTTGAATTTAAAATTTTTCTCCCCCTTCCTTCCCCACCACCCTCCCCAAGACGGCGCACAATCTGTTATAGGCTATACATATACATTCCTATTAAACATATTTTCACATTAATGATGTTGTAAGTAAAAATTAGAACCATTAGGAGGAACCACCAGAAAGAGGAAACAAAACTCAACAGAAGAGAAAAAAAAAATAGCAATTCAAATTCCCTAGTTCTTTCTTTGGATGTGGATAGCATTTTCTATCACGAGGCCTTAGATCTTTGTATTGATGGGAAGGGTTAAGTTTATCAATATTAGTCATCAAACAACGTGGCTATTATTGTGTACAGTGTTCTCTTGCTTCTGCTCACTTCACTCAGCATCAGACCATACAAGTCTTTCCAGGTGTTTTTGAAGTCAGCCTGCTCATCATTTCTTATAGCATAATAGTATTCCATTACATTCATATACCACAACTTGCTCAGCCATTCCCCAGTTGATGGGCATCTTCTCAATTTCCAATTCTTTACCACCACAAAAAGAGCTGCTATGAATATTTTTGTACATGTGGGTCCTTTCCCCGTTTGTGTGATCTCTTTGGGATATGGCCCTAGAAGTGCTATTGCTGGGTCAAAGGGTATGCACATTTTTATAACCCTTTGGGCATAGTTCCAAATTGCTTTCCAAAATGGTTGGATCATTTCACAACTCCACCAGCAGTGCATTAGTGTTCCAATTTTCCCACATGTTCTCCAACATTTATCATTTTCCTGTTTTGTCATGTTGGCCAATCTGATAGGTGTGATGGGGTAACTTAGAGTTGTTTTGATTTGCATTTCTCTAATCAGTAGTGATTTAGAACATTTTTTCATATGACTGTAGATGGCTTTAATTTCTTCATCTGAGAACTGCCTGTTCATATCCTTTTATCATTTATCAATTGGGGAATGACTTGTATTCTTATAGATTTGACTTAATTCTCTATATATTTTAGAGCGTGCCTGTGGTTTTTAAAGAGCACATGAGATTCTGAGCATTGACAGAATGCCATGAGGTATATAGAAAATTTGTTATTAAAATAACAATCTATAACTTGGGTACTGTTTCATCTTCTGACCTGGAAAGATAGAAGATTTGTTTGTCTCTTGAGTGAAATATTGATGTGGGAAATATGAGACTAAAATATGCAGATACTAAAGCAAAATAGTGACTAAATAATAGTGAAATTAAAGACTGTCAATTAAATAAAACAAATTAAGCCAAATATTGATTGAGTGCTTATTTATATGCAAAGCGCTGGGCTCTATCAGATAGAATCGATATACAGCCTATTCGTGCCTTGATTCAAGGGGCTTAACTGGGGACAAAACACATAAGCATATAAAAATTAAGTTGTCTAAGATATAAATGACAGTTCAAAGTCTTGATTACTAAATGTCCAGGTGATTGGTAGGAGAGCTCAAAAGAAGGAAGCATGACTTGCTTGGGGTCTTTGACAGGACTTGGCCTCTGGCAGAGGCCGGCAGGGGCTAAGCTTCTCCCTTCCTAGCCCCTCAGCAGGTGGGGCTGCTGAATGAGAGAAGCTAAAGTTTGTGTGACTTTGAGAAAACTAACATTTCCCCAGACTTCTCTTTTTACACATACGTTTTTTTAAATCTGTTAAACCCTTTAGCAGATTATGATGGAAGTCCTCACAGATCAGAAATACAAAAGTATAAATTCAGGCAAACTTAAAACAATAGCTTCATGCCTAGGTCACTGATCTGACTTTCTTTTGGTAAGCATCTGATATCCAACTGTGTTGGTGCAACACAGGTAGCAGGTTTTCTCTTTGATTTCAGTGTGAAAATGGGCCCTCTAGTGGTCCAAGACTCAGACACATGCCGAAGTATGTGGACACACTTACACAGACGTATGCTAACACATAAATGTCCATGCACACACATAGAGGCACACTAGATTCCTTGTGTGTATTTTATCTAGTCTGTGAATCATCCCCTGTCGTCACTCCCTGTTGGGCTGCTAGGCTTATTGCCCTTGTAGACTTTTTTTTTTGGGGGGTAACCGGCCTCAGGTGAGGGTCTTGGGGAATGCAAAAGAACATGAGTGTTATTTTCATTTGCTGTTATTGAATTGTATGCTACATTTGAAAGTCAAATGTTAGTGATTCTTAGAATTATCTACTGCTTCAGACTTTGTACCCCACTGTGCTGAGCTCTGCATAGTGCTGGCAGGCAGGAGAGTGATGGAGGCAGGACCAGCCTTGGCAGCCGAGCGTTCTTGCTTCAAGTCTTAGCTCTGCTTCTATCAAGTCGCATAACTTGTCAGTGCCCCAGACTGGGCATTTAAGGAGTTGCCAGACTTACGTGGTAGAGGGACTTTCCACAACAGAAATCCCCTGCACCAGTGAATCGCTGGCTGGTACTACTGTCATCTCATCCCCCCAAATATTACTTTAAAAATTAATAAGGAAATTCACCAGCATAGTAGGATTCAGAGTTACTGAACGTACCATTCAAAGGTTTCTTTTCCTTCAGTATCACTGAGAGAAATTTGAATCTCCATTTGAAAGTGAGGGCAGTGTTTATTTCAAGGCTAGGTGGAGTTGTTCAGGATGCACATTGTACACTTTTCAAAATGTTAAATGTTTGTTTTCTTTTATGTGTTTTAGGCCTCAGGAAAGGAGAACTGGGTATGAACAATTTCATCCAGGTCCGTCTCAGGTGGACCATGATTCCCTGGAAGCTAAGCGACCTCGGCTGGACCAGGTTTCTGACACACATTTTCAGCGGGTCAGTGCTGCTGTCTTGCCTTTAGTACACACACTGCCAGAGGGGCTGCGGGCATCTACAGAGGTTAAGAAGGTAAATAAATATTTGATCTCTTAATTTGAGGAGCTGGAGGTTTGTTTGTTTAACTGTGTTGAAACTCAGTGTCTACAGGAGCAAAAGTAGAGTTAGGACAGGTTTTCAAACTTTAGTTAGCCCATGAGCAGATAAACATTTTATGAAAAATAAAAAGTAAACCTAGAAGTTTTTCAGGCTTGTAAACGAAGTATGTTGTCATCTAAGACATCCTCATTTTAATGACTAAATGGGAATTGTTAATGAAAATTTGGAAATTAATTTAAAGAAATATTTTCATTGAATTGTTTTTTCAACTTTTAAAAAATTCCATAGCAGCCAGAGATTAAGGAGAAAAAACATCTTTTGACAGTTTTTGGCCACTGAAAGCAGTCTAAACAGTGTTTATGTCTTTCTGTATGACAACAGTGAGCACAGTGGTAAAAGAAAATGCTTAATTGGAAAAGATTTTGATAGAAGAACTTAGTGCAAGAGTTGTGAACAAAAGAATATCGTTTTTCCTGCTAATGTGGAGAATGTGCATGAAAATCTCCTTTCTGTTTCATCTGGCTATCTACTGGTGTAATTAGTAATGATGTAATTAGTAATAGATATTTCTGTTTTCTGTCTTATTCTGAATTACTGCAAAAGAATGTCAAAAGAGAATCACCAGATTTATTACCTGCATGTTTGTATTCATAGAGTTGTGGCTGATATGGAACAGTATAAATGTGGGCCTTCTTTCTAGGAGCTTCCATTTTAGTTGGAGAGATAAGATATATCTTACATATCTTATACACATAGAACACCCACTTCAGTTAAGTCAAGTCCATAAGTATTTATGAAGTACTTACTTTGGGCCAGGAGCTATGCTGCTAAGTGCTGGGAATATAGATTCAGTCAGAGAAAATGACAGTCCCTGACGTGGAGGAGTTTATGTTCTTATGGGGAAGGGTACTGAAAAGGAGGAAGGAAGAAGCTAGGCTGTGGCGCTATTGTAAGGAAAGTTGGGAGACAAGTCTGGAATGCAGTTTGGAGGGGAATGAAGATGTGGGTGGTCCAGGTGTCTTCCTTCTGATAGAGGTTGTAGGAGAAACTGGCCAATCAGAAGGAGGATGTATCAAGGCAGTGGTTTCTTTCAATGTGAGGGAGACTGCTGTGTGATGATGTTTCTGTGTGTATTGTAGAAAAAGTCAGGGAGGATGATCAAGTGTAGCCCTCAGAGGAGCGGAGGTATTGGTGGTCTTAGTTCTTTGAAAATTTCATGGTACTTATCTCTTCATACATTAATATTGTGTTCATATCTTTCCAACTAGATGGTAAGATCCTTGAGGATGTGGATGGTATCTTCCCCATTTTGGTACAGTCAAATATTTATTGAACTTAATAGACTTATTCATGCCAATTCAGTGATATAGAAGGTAAAGGTATGTTTCAACAGAAGGATTGGGGTTGTTTGAGAGGTTTCAAAGGAAGTGGCATTGGAGCTGGACTCAGAAGGATAGGTAGGCTTTTGATTGGAGGGAAGACAAAGGGATATGCTTTCTAGAAAAGTCTGATGTGATTAGTGGTGCAGAGGTGCAAAACATGTTCCAGGATACAGTGATTCTCCATCCCTGTTTTTGTTTATCAGGAACCATTTGGGATATTCTCCCAAGCTTTGTGGCATGGCCCTTGCAATAGGCTTCAAGGAACGGTATTGTAAGAAGTGAAGTGTTTAAGAATTGTGAGCTTTAAGAAAAAAAAATCTTTCTGTTCAACAACTAGCCTAACTGTAAGGTTTATAGAAGTGTTCATAAGACTTTTGCTTCAAGCTAAAATACCATTTTGGACTATGTAGGCTTTTGATCTTCTAATGGTTGAAGCATTTTAAATGCATGTGTGGTAATTATCTCGATTAATCTTTTCAGAAGGTGACTAACTTCCACTTGTTTCAGTGCTGAAGGCATTGTTATGGCTGTGATGATCTGTCCTGGACCCAAGCCGAGTTTGGATCTTCACCTCACCTCGTTTTCTGGTCCACCAGATCCATTCAAGGGAATCCTAGGGAGGGCACCAAGCCTGGCGAGGAGGCCAAACTGGATGTAGCGTTTCCTGTAGTATTTATATTGGTAGCTTTAGATTGGGATTGTTGAACGAAGCTGAGCCAAAGTGTTTCATTCTTTTAGGGGACAGAATGGACTGGTGGAAAGAGTTTTGGCTTGGTTTCCTGTAAAATGGAGAGTTTGAATTAGATCACCTCTCCAGTCCATTCCAGCTTCTGTGTATAGGAGACTTAGAGTCAGAAACTTGAGGCTCAGATTCTGCCTTGGCCAGACCCCTTTCAACTTAAGTTCTTTCATTTGTGCAAGATTATTGTATAAAAAGTGCTCGGGAGACTGAAAAGTGCTACATAGACATGAGCGTCTCTTATTATTGCTAGACATGGAACTCTTTCTCCAGATTCTTTTCCTTTTGGTGATTTGTTTTAATTTCTGGTCTCATGCTTTCATCTAGAATGGGTACCACATTTTGGTAAAGGAACTGGATAAAATAAGCACAACAAAATAATTTGCACTTTTTTATGATGTAAAAGAGATTTATTATTTTGACTCTGTAGACATAGTAAATTTGGAGTAAATTTCAAGAAACTTACTCAGTTGATAAAATGGGGCATTCTCTTAAGTGTTACTGAAAGAATATATAGGATTTGGTTCTACTTTCTTAGCTTTATTTTATTCTTCTGTTACTACCTGAGTGAGATTAGTACAGGTTAATTTTGTTACAATGAAAGAGTAGCTATAGTAGATATTTCCAAGTGCTAACCCAGGGTCCACTTGATGTAACAAAGTTCCGCTGAAGTGAAATAATTTTGGGTATCCCTTTGAAATTGGCTTATGATGTGATCTAATGTGTAGTACATTTTCTATTAAAGAAACATCAATGAGATGTCTTAGGTGTGCAAGTTTTTTTCTATTACAGTTTTTTTCTGTGGTTCAGTTTGAGCACTAGATTTCACTGAAAATACCTCCCTTTCCCCCGTATTAGAAATAGGTTAATTATAAACGAACCATTTATAAAATCAATATAACCGACAGATTTTTGTTCCTTTCTCTTTAAAAATTCAAGTTCAGCAGTTTGTTAAATAAGCTGATGTAATCATTTTGCCTCAATACTGTAGCATTCTCTGAGTTCCAATCGGTGTGGAGAGTCCTTCCAAAGTTGCAGATCACAGCTCTTCTTGTAGTGTTGGCATGGCCAAAGGTTCTCATCCTGGAGACCACTTGGCGATGAACTCCTGTACTTGGAATCTCTCCAGCCTCGTAGATCCTGCTTAGAAGTATAACCTTTAGTGAAAATGACTGTTTTGTAGTGGTTTACATTAATGATCCCTCTAGTCAGATCTTTGGTCTCCCTCAAATGTCACCCACGGTTCCTGTACGGAGTCTTGTCTTGCCGTGTGGCTCTTGCCACAGGCTTTCCTCTGGCCCTTCTAATTCCTTTATAGTGTTGTTGTCTCTCACTTTCGGTCTATGACTGGGCTGCCCTCTTTTCTGGTTCCATATTTCATCATCAGTATACTTTGTTACATTTCTTGGGCATGAGTGATTGTCAGCCATATGCTGTAGCCTCCTTATGCCTGCCACATATATGTCTTTCTTTACCTCTTAAGTTATTTATAATTATTATTCTCCTGAGACTAGAGTGTTTTACTGCTTATAGCATCTCTGGGACGAATTGGCATATAGTAGTTTTGAAGCAAGGATCAGTTTTTTGACTGTAGTTATATATAGCATGTCATAGTTTCCCAAGTGTAATCGAGCCTTAAAAGTATTCTCCTCTGTTCTAAACCTGTCTCATTGTTTGCCTGCAGCTCTTCTTATGTATGTAGATGGCCTAATTGGTGGTCTGCTTCTCATTACATAGGCTTTTGTATCATTTTAATATATGTACTAGAAACACCTCATTTAAGGAGCTTCAACCCTGAATTTTCTTCTACTGAGTAAAATGCTTTTTAAAAAATCAATAGAGTAGATAAACATAGGTGAACTCTATCTTTTTCATGCCTCTTTCACTTTTATGGCCATAAAAGATAATCTTTTGTAGAAGTTTACTTACACCTTTTTCATGATTTATTTTGTTTTTTGTTTTTAAACAAGACTAACCCCAGTCCTTGGTTTGACCACTGTCAGAATTGTTACTGAAGATGACCAAGTTGGTACAAGGCTGGTGGAGTATTGATCTGCCTTGGGTGCTGTTCACCACTTCCACTGGCTGTTGGTAAGGCCCCAGATGAGTGTCAGCTAGTTTTCCCCCATATTTTAGTAGAAGTACCATTGCGGGGATGTTTTCTGTTATTTTTAGAATCTTGCCTTTCTGTGAAGAATCTTGAATATTGTACCACCTTCACAACGGATTTCTTCAGTACGTATTTCATCTGGTTCAGAAAGTCTTCCTTTAGCCTTTTCTTTCTATCTACACTTTCTTTTTTAAAATTATGATTGTGAACTTGACAAACATCAACAAATGAGCATTTCTATATGCAAAGAAAAACACAAAAAGAGGATTATATGTTAAACTGAGAGTTTCTGTTATGGCTTTTCTCTAAAAGTATGTTTTTCAACACAGCACGACATTGGCCAACTTGTCACGGTTCCTTTTTGAACTCCATTCTGTTCTCTTTTAGACTGTGTTTGTTGTATGTCTCATTGCCACTCTTTTCTTTTTCTCTATTTAATCTTAACTGCCTTTGCACTCATGGTTTATCAGGCATGAAAGGTAGTAGAGTTTAACTTAGGTAGTTCCACTTTTGTCATAAATGAGAACTCATCACTTCTCAAATGTCCACAGATTTGTTCTCCTCCAGATCCATTCCTTGCTTTCCTTCAGGTTTCCTCTTATGCAGAAGCTTTGACAATGACTGATTTAATACCTAAAGCTTCTGCAGAGTATCTCTCCCCCCATCCTTTCCAAGATAGTTTTTGCTGTTCTCTTTGCTTACCCTGACATAACTTAGATGAGTGGACTTTGTCCAATTTGCC